TGGGAAATCACTAAACTATCACCCCTGTTAATAACACACAGTGTATCCTGCAGCAGGCTGTCTTGGCTGCACGACACACTACCGTGTGTCTTGATGTAGCCCTAATTTTAATTATCTTCATTATTGTTAATTAATATGAAAATAATGCCACTTAAACCTAACTTCAGAATTAAGCAAAGGCATACAGATTGTGTGTAGGCCTATTTCAATTCTCATAGGGTTATCTTTTTTTGCAGTAAAATTACTAGTAACATTAATATTGTCAAAATGTAGTTATATCACTTATAAATAAACATCGAAGTTAATGCCATATTGGATTTGCAAATTGTCGTATATAGGCCTACATAGTTTATGAAGACAAATAAACGTAGGATATGCTTTATAAAACAAGTATTAAATTAATGTTATTTCATTTTATTGTTGATTTTGTCATTAATTTTTTTTCCATAATTCCATCAGTTGTGTCAGCCTTAAGTCATTAAATGTCAATAAAGTTTATGAATTACTATTATGTTTAATACAGCCACGAAGTATGAGACAGGCCAATATAGAAAAGTGTATACTGACACACAATCAGTCTTTAATTTGTATGTGTTTATTTAGCCACAGTGTAAATTACATGTTTGACACACTAGCCTATTCTCATCATGCCATTTATACATTGCTGCACAATATTCAGTTATTAAACAAATAATAACTGTCAACAGAACACAATAGAGGACAAATTGTGTGGTTCAGTGTGGTATTCTAGACTGTTTCATACAGGAAACATTTTCTGAGGAGTTAATGTGTTAGTATACAAGCAGGATTGAAATATGTATATTCAATGAAGATTCATTAATTTCACATGACTGAAAATATATTGCAATGTACGTGTGTGTGTGGTACATATATTTAGAATTCAAAACAAGCTTGATGAAAATGTAATACTTCATAATCAAAGTAAATATGTCACAAGGTATAGGCCATAACGTGGGAGGTATAAAACTTGTCCTAGCCTTTGGAAGTAGGATCCACATAGCTGTAGGGATACACCATCTATCAGTCTTAACTTCTGTTTGCCAAGTCTCGCATATAAAGAATGAAATAAAATATAGGAGCAAGATATGGGTGCTCAAGCTACTACATCCCACATCTATCTCACCCTTCACTGCCTGCAGACAGATGTGGGAAGATGGCTGCTCTAAGAAGAAAAGAAATACAAAAATATATCAAAAGGTCCTAATATTGGGGGTGTTGAGAAAGAAAAACATTTCCTGAAATTGGCATTCCAGCCCTCAATATGGAAGGAAGAGCTCAAATCAATCAGCTAATATTAGTAGTACAACAGAAAAAAAAAATTTATACTGAAACAAAACCCATATAAAGTTATCTGAACTATTATGACATCTATAGTCGACCCCTAAAAGTCTAATGTAATTACTAATTTCCAGATTATTTTCTATCTTTTATAAGCTCTTATATATCCGTGCATGTTAATACTCATATGAAAATAGTGCCAAGGTGTTTTGTTTAAATGAATTTAGTAAAAAATAGTTAATAAACAATTTCAAGCATAATATATTTAATTCCTATTTATTGATATTTGTGTCAGATATTTTTATGTTTATTACAAAAATATTTTAATAAAGTTATCTAATGTTTGTTTTTTAAATCCATTAAAGATTAAATTTTTTAATTGATATTTCAACATTAGCAGTAAAATATTGTAATCTGTTACAAATTTTACAGAATGTTTGTGAACTTATAATAGAAGAATATGGAACATTACTGTTAGGAGAGGGTAGGCCATATATTGGAAAATAAAATAGTTTCTTTTATAAGAATATTTAAATTAATATCATTATTAAATATTTTAATTTCCAGATCTAAATAATGTGCTTCTAATGAAGAAATTGACATATTAACAATTTCTAATTCTACTGAGTAAATATTGTTGATGAAATTATTTATTTCAGGATTATTAATACTAATTAAATCGTCAATCAATCTATAAGTTAAAAGCAAAAACATTCAGATTTATACAACTTTCAATAATCTTATTGTCATAAAAGTAAAGATATAGATTTACAATGCAAGTAGAATAGTTAACTCCTTTTACTTGTTTAAATACTTGTTCTTTATGTTTTTGGAGGTAAAATTATTTCTTCAAGCAATACAAAAGGATTAGAATATTAATCTAGCAACAAATTCATAATTGATATTAAGTTTTACAAAATATTTGTTATATATGAGGTTGTGAAATAAAATGTTTGAATAGTTTTAACTTGCTCACAATTATTTAAATATTTCAAAATATGTTTATTATTACCACTATTTTTAATTTTAATTCTATCCAATAAAATATTAGGTAATTCATTTAATAAAATGGCTGGTTGTTAAGTAATTGTTTTCACTGAGCTGGAAATAAATCTAGGTTTTATAGAAGATTGTTCAGTTTAAGTATTGTATACGGGAAAGGTAAATCTGAAAAAGGATTTGATTTAGAATGAAGTTTTTACAAGCTGTAATCAAATTATCAATTACTGTACCCATAGATTGATTAACCACTTTAAATGTTTATATACTATTAATTTCATTAATCATAAGTTGTGCATAAAACTTTTGACAAATAAACCTGAAATTACAATTACCTTTATCTGTGGGAACAGTTACATATTTCTGTTGTAATTGTTTGATTGTATTTTTTACTTAAAAAACGTTATATCTATTAGAAATTTTCATAAATTCAGTAAAATAGTTAAATTAATATTTACATTAAAAGGAAGGACTGCTTTAAAAACAGCAAGACCAAACCTGTGATAAAATACAACATATATATAATTCAAAACAATCCATTGTAAAAATATAATAATGTGTCCTGGCCCTTGGAAGTGACTGTGGAAATAGGACTGACATAAACGTGTTGATGCACTGTCTTTCAAAAAAAGATCTCAACCATCGTTTGTCAAGCTTCATGTGTAAGGAATAAAAGAGTAAAATAAAATAAGAAGACCAGATGTAGGTGCTCAAACCTACAATGTCCTAATGGTAGGACCTTTTCATGGGTGCTCAAACCTACAATGTCCCAATGGTAGGACCTTTTCATGGGTGCTCAAACCTACAATGTCCCAATGGTAGGACCTTTTCATAGGTGCTCAAACCTACAATGTCCTAATGGTAGGACCTTTTCATGGGTGCTCAAACCTACAATGTCCTAATGGTAGGACCTTTTCATGGGTGCTCAAACCTACAATGTCCCAGTGGTAGGACCTTTTCATGGGTGCTCAAACCCATAATGTTCCAATGGTAGGACCTTTTCATGGGTGCTCAAACCTACAACGTTCCAATAGTAGGGTCTTTTAATTTTTCTTATATCTTCTTCTGAGAGCAGCCACCTTTCCACAACTGTTCGCAGACAGCGAAGGGTGATGTAGACTTGGGATTTCGTGGGCTTGAGTGCTCACATCTTGCTTTTTTATATTTTACATGGGAATCTTGTCAAACCGAGGTTAAGATAGACAGACAATGTATCCTGCTTCTTTAGTTATCTCCAAAGGCCAGGACACATTTTATATTTCCCACATTATAGCCCGTGTGTGCCCTGATGAATTAATTTATTTTGGTTATGCAGGGTTAAATTTGTTTGAGGTTTGTTTTGAATTATAAATATGTTGTATTTTATTATAGGTTTGATCTTGATATTTTTAACTTAGTCCTACCTTGTGATGTTAATAGTAACTTAATTTTCGATAATATTTACGTTTATATGCCTCCCAGTGGCACAACGGCATGTCTGCGGACTTACAATGCTAGAAACGGGGTTTCCATACCCGTGGTGGGCAGAGCAGATACCCCATTGTTTAGCTTTGTGCTTAACTATAAACAAACAAACGATACGTTTATATATATATATATATAGACATCTGCATCCTAAATACAAGGTCTGAACTAAGATGCGAATATATAGAGTATAGAACGAAAAATCGGAAAAATCATAAGGTATTTGTAATTGCAGGGGTGTTGACCCCCTAATTGTTTTTTCTGCGGGCGTCCTTGCATTTGTTGCTTAGAGTATAAAAACAAAGCATTACCGTTATCTTTTTATTGGTTCGGAACATGCCTGTGAACGTTCCGAGACTTTTACTGACACTGACTTAGCCCCAAATCGTATCGATTCTTACCGTGTTTAATAATATTTCCAGCAATATTTGCTGAAGATGGTTTGTAGTTTGCTCTTAATGTTTGTTACAGAGTTATTGACTTTTTATATGTGAGAGTACCAGTAAAATCTGTGCTTCTTTGTTTCGGTTAAAGATGGGCGTTTAGTAGAATTCTGTATACAAAATACAGTTCCACTTAACTCATCAGACCAACAGTTTTATTTCTAACATGGCCCGGCATGGCCAGGTGGTTAGGGCACTCGACTCGTAATCTGAGGGTCGCGGGTTCGAATCCCCTTTCAGCCGGTCAATCCCACTATTCGTTGGTAAAAGAGTAGCCCAAGAGTTGGCGGTGGGTGGTGATGACTTCCCTCTTGTCTTACACTGCTAAATTAGGGATGGCTAGCGCAGATAGCCCTCGTGTAGCTTTGCGCGAAATTCAAAAACAAACAATTTCTAACGCTGTTTATAAGACATCAAGTCTGGTGGTTTTTAACGCCTAATATCTTGAAAAGAATGGTGTTTGTATCATATTCTTTCTTATGATATGTTTGATTTATATTTCTATTTTCAAACATATTTGTAGTTGTTTTTTATTATTATTTTTATTTTATTATTTATATTATTATTTATTTTTATTATTTCTGACAGACAATTTTCAGCATTTTTGATATAAAAAAAAGCATCCATTATTATTTTTACGAAATAAACTTGCGATGTAGTATGTAATTATTAAAATTTAAATAAGTCTATTATACATTTCTTCGAAATATTGCCATTTAAAAAGTCTGAATTATTGTATAGACAAAACTAAATTTTATTCCTAGACGTTAGCATTTTGTGTCTGGTTTCTTCTAGGAATTATGGGACGTGAGGGAACGTGCAGCCGAAGCTCTGCTTCACGACGGTTACGTCTACTCTTACGATCTCTCCCTTCCGTCGAAAGCCTATTATCATATTGTACCTGTTATGAAGGACAGATTAGGGAGCAAAGTGAAACGTTGTGCAGGATACGGACACGTGGGAGACGGAAACTTGCATCTTAACATCACGACTCAAGACTACGACCCGGAGGTTATAAAGCTGATTGAACCCTTCGTTTACGACTGGACAACGAAGAACGGCGGCAGCATCAGCGCCGAGCACGGAATGGGGATAAAACGTTGTCCGTACTTATCGCTCGCCAAATCTCCGAATTCCATAAAACTGATGAAAGACTTGAAAGCTTTAATTGATCCTAAGTGCATTTTGAATCCGTACAAAGTCTTCCCTTACGAAGTAAACAGCTTCAGTGAGTTCTAAAAAAAAACCTTCACGTAAACAAACGTACATTTCCAAATTAAAGAAAGTTCGGATCTTGTTAGAAACATTTATGAAGTTATTAATATTTTTAGAATCTCACGTTATTGTTTAACAATATAACTGAATGCTTGATTTACTAAATACAGTCGTAATTTCATCCTCGTGATAGAACTGTCCAACTTCTATCTTTGTTAATACAATTCTATATAGATATCGGGTTATTTGAGAAAGAAGGAATTACGGGTAACTTTTATCCTTTTTTGATTTATGATTTGTAACTTTTTAAAAAAAACAAACATATATTTTTAGAAGCTATTCACAAGGTAATGCGCATAAAGTTGCATCTAGTGACAATTATTTCGAGTATCCAAGATGGCGACAAATTTTCCTTCACAGAATAATAAATAGTTCATGATACACAAGCCAGGCGTTCCAGAACGTGGGATTTTGACATAATTAATGGATAACATTCGGTCCTTCAAAGATGTCCTTGTCCACCCACTCCAGAGGAAAGTGAATATTTAAATCCTTCCTTTATTTTTTCAAGAAATCGTATATTCTTCTTATAAACTCATTCCATAAGCCACGTTAGAAAACTCAAATTGTCTTAATTGGAGCCTAGCCTGTCTTTTTTTAACATCTCCAATACACGGGAGTACAATGTCTTCAGCAAACTTGACTATCAGTCTCATCAATGTAAATAAAACGGGAAAGGCCCAAGGACTGACCCTCTACTAGTAACAGTGGTCCAAACTGACTGGATAATAATAATATATTGCTTTCTCCTATTCAGCCAATTTACAATCCAATTAACCAGTCGTATCCCAACCCCTTCCTATGTAGTGTCCTTAGCCAATATTTTGTGTGGAACTTTATTAAAAGCATTTTGAAAACATAACTGCATGAAATTTGTGTACTTTACTTCGTCCACATGACAAGTAACATTCTAAAAAAGTAACAGATTAGTAAGACAACATTTCCTTTTAGCAAATTCATGTTGGACTTTCGTTCATTAAAATACATTTTACTAAATTATTTTGTAAATGTTCTTTTACCAGACTAGAATTTTTTTCCTCTGTAGAAGTAAGACAATATGGCCTATAATTTCCATCACCCCTTTAAAAATTAGAATACCTAGGAATTCTTCAATCCTCAGACACCATCCCACTGTCTATTGATCTACCAAAAACGAGAAAGTCTCATATTTGATCTTTTAAAACATGGTTTGCTGCTTTATTTTTAATCTTTGTCTTTCTATTTACCTTCTCTGGATCAATGTATGCATGGTGTTACTTCCAGTATTCCCCTAGGATGCTCAGGAATAATGCTTATGGTGTTACTTCCGGTATTCCATCTAGTAAGTCTTCAACAAAAACCTTGCAATCAACATCCTTAAGGTCGTAATCTCCATTTTAACTACCTCTAAATTAGTTTTAAAAAATCTTTGCTGCTTATATGTTGCTTGAAATCTGTTAGAGCTTCTTAGTGTTGTGAGTTTAATTGTTTACCGAATGTGTACGGGTCGGACTGACCCTCGTATTGTAGAAGGAATATTAACTATAATTCCAACTTTACTATGTGTATCTACAGGGAATATGGCAAGGTTTTAATAACATGTTCAGGACTGTTTTATTATAGAAGTATTTGTATTTAAGGTTATGTCTGTGAAATCAGTCTGACTCAAACTCGGTGCTAGTTACAGCTCTGGTAACAGTCAATTCCGCTATTTCATTAAAGGTAGGCGGTGGGTACTGCTGATGGTTGACTTCCTTCTGCTCATCAGTTCTAAATTAGGGACTGGTATGCCTAATATTTGAAGCCCGAACTGGTTATTCAGTCCATGTGCTGTACACGATGTTGTTCAGGGCACCACCATTGAACAAAGACGTTTTTATTATTTAAATTTTATGTTTTAATATTTGGCTCTTTTCATTTTGCCAAGTTTATCATAGTTACCATAGCTATTGTAAAATAAATAATTATAATATTATATAAGAGCATCATTAATTCATTGAGAGATAATTGATGTATGATGAATTGTCATGTCTGAAGAATTCCCTGTTTCGTTGGGCTTGTACGTGCACTGATTTGCAAGTTATTTGTATATTTGAAGTTTGATGGTCGAAAATTAACGAGTAATGAATACTTCAACATGAAGTATTTGTTTTCAATGTAAAATAAAATAGTTTGAGATTGTTGGCTGTTAACGAAACAAATGAACAACGTGGTTAATTAGAATAACAGTCTAATTTACAAATGGTTACCGTGGCAAAGACCTACTCAGTGTCAATCATTTTGTGCCACTATGAAAATAATGTAATTATTAATTCTAGCGAGGTGAGAGCTAGTATTTATGATTAAGCAAGCCCAAAAGACGGTTATACTAAACGATATAGGGAAAGGTGCGTAAAATATAAGTATTACAATAATTAATAAAAATGAAGGAATGCAAACGTGCACCCACACATGATATTTAGCATCTCTGGAATGGTGGAAAGGGAATAAAATAAGAGGTGCCAGTTTTTGTTATTGATTTTTACTGTATTATTTGTACTTTGATTGATTATGTAATGAAACCATTCATTTCTGAACCACGAGAAAATAGTTTGGAGTATCGTTTAAGGAAAATTTGAAAAAAATAATTTCATGTTTTAGAAATACACAGAATTGAGCAGGACAAAGATTCAATAAAACGTAAGATATATAGAGATAAACAGACGATTCTGTGTATTGATTATTTAGTGTATAACGCCACCTCTCCTTCGTTTGACAGTGTTTGGGTTTATTATGTGTCAGAATGTTGAAGACATTGAGTAATTTACATGTTTCTCAATATGTATCTCGGTGGTCGATGCCTCTATGGTAATTATACATAAAGTTACGGTCCTTGGTTCGAATTGGGAGTGGGGCTCATGCCACGTAACCTTGATTAACCTTTTCGATGTGTATGTGCTGTATTTGTTTTCACAAGTATTAAAAGTTATCAATTGTTATAAGTTTTCATGGATAGTAAGGTAAAGGTGACATATATTTTAAACGAGAAAACCTTATTTGTGTGCTGTGCTAGACTATATTCTAATTGTTAAAACTAAATTTACATACATTAAGATACTTGCACGAAATGTATATTACAGTTCCACACCATCGTTAGCCCTAACTTGTACAAGTTAAATTTAATAGTTAAAATTTCAGTTTTATTGCTGCGTTCCAATTGCATTGTGGTTATCACGTTCGCAATTTCTCGGAATCTCGAGCCTTTGAATAATTCAGTTGTTATATTCCGCCTATCTCTGATCGCTAAACAAAAAAAAAAGCGTCAACTGCCCTCTGTAACAGATCGCCAATAAAAACTAAAGAATCTTAGATTTTGTGTAATCATAACATCCTGTGTCGATTTCCGGTATCATTGTTTACAAAATTGATATTGACGAATCTATTCAGTTTATAGAAAGAAGAACAGGTTTAATTTCAAATATAAGCAGGAAACGGCTATCATACTCTGTATGCGACAACTAAGATAATTTTACAGTTTTATCGACACGACATGGGAAGACGAAAGTTTACGCTCGTTCTCTTGTGGTTTCGCCCGCATGTTCCGCTTTAACGAGGCTTCATTCAGAAGTTAATTAGGCACTTTCAAACCTTCATAAATCTTTAGTGGGATAGAGGGCGCTGAATTATTCGCGTTAAATTAGATTTTGGTTGTGGAGTATTTGACTTGGAAAAATTATGGCGGAAAATGATGCGTGGATAACAGGTAAAGCGACTATACTATATCACATACATACAAAAATATTTAAAAGTTGATTATATTCTAAGAGAGCAGAAAATAATTGTGCACTGTTAAATAAGTTTAAGTAGCATTAATAATTTACCCAAATTTTAAGTTATAAATTACTGCACAGTATTTCGCTGGTATTTCAGTCATGTGATTCGCACGAACATTTCCAAAAGTGGAATAAGCTATTGTTAGTACTTATTCGAGAACGCTTAAATGGAATTGAATATAATATTGGATGTAAAAAAATGTATACCTTGTAAGATTCGAAAATTTTGCTAATTACACTAAGCCTACTTCTCTATAAATCTAATTAGTGGATCATTAAGTGAAGTGCCTTATAAACGTGCCTTCCTTACACTTATACTTGGTTTCTTTACTTTGATCATTTTAAGAGTTTGAAGTTGAGCTCATGAACTAATGAGAATACAAACTGTATTTAACAAATTTTTCTTTGGATCAACTTGGTAGATAAAAACAAGATGAAATAGTGACATTTATGTTATTGTGGCAAGTTGATGTTATAACTTGCATTTTTTTTTATTTAAAAATAATAATGACAAAAGTCTTCCTAACAATCCATTTTATCACATCATCGCACGGTATTGGAAAAGGATCCAGTTATTACCACCCTCTCTTTTGTTTGTGAACCTTTAACGTTATTTTCACCTGTTTGAAGATGATAATCTGGCAATTAGACACCTTTGGTATCCAAGCTTTCTAAAAGTGGAGGTAAAAAAGATGCAGTAATGATCTCATTCAAGAAAAAAAAATGTAGCCATAAAAACTAAAGATGGTGGAACAACAAAAACACTGTGGTTGTTATTTATGAAAAGATTCATCACCACAGGAACAAAAGAAATCAAGCTGTAATCCAGTAGTTTCTTATTCAACTAATTTTGTTTCTACTTTTACATAAACAGGACCCACATTATTAGTTTCCAAACTACGTGAGTTATTCCAGTATTTCTTCAGTGTTACTATTAACCCTACATCTGATTTTATTAAAGTTTTAATATGTATTCTGAAGAATGATGAGTTTAATACAGCATTTTCATTCAGTTTTACGGGATTCAACCTTGTTCTTTAGAACTCAACAATACTGTCTTCTTAATTTTGATGTTCAACTATTCAGTACTAACAACTGCTTTATTTCATTATTAATAATGGCTCTGGTTTTATTTCTGTATGCCATAGTATACAGTTTCTTTTAACATTAATTTCATGTACTGTAAGAAGCTAATTAATAAATCTTGATAGTTTGAAGTTGTGCTGTTGGTATTGGCTTTGTGTTTAAATGTACAAATAAAATTCAAGATTAAAACTAGATCTTCAATAATTATTATTTATTGCTGTGTTTTGGGGAAGTCTTTATCAGGTTTAGATGTCAATACCAACTTCTACTAATCAAAATAGTTTGATTTGTGGGTGCTTCTGGGTCAGTTTGTTTTGTTGTTTTTAGTTAAGCTCACCTGTGGGTGCATATGGATCAGTTTTGTTATTTTTACTTAAGCTCATCTGGGGTGCTTATGGGTCAGTTTCTTTTGTGGTCTTTAGTTAAGTCTCTTGTTGGTGCATATGGGTCAGTTTCTTTTGTTATTTTAGTTTAGCTCACCTGTGGGTGTATATGGGTCAGTATGTTATGTTGTTTTTAGTTAAGCTTACTTGTGGGTGCTTCAGGGCCAGTCTGTTTTGTAGTTTCTCAGGTATGTGATGTTTTATCCCTTGCCTTTATTTCCTACGAACCAGATATTGGGGTACATGCTGACCAACGTGCCTTACAATTAAGTTACAGGATTAGCATGCCTCGACACCATGGTCTTCGGATCAGTTTGCTCTTGCATGTCATCAAGCAGACTGACCTTTTTAGCCTAACAATTGTTAGGTTCTATTTTACCTTTTTGGGGGCAGTCCCCGAACCTCCTGTAAGTCTGATATATGCCCAATTTTTCCGCCTTCGTCTTGCTCTCACGACGGTATCTCGCTACTATCCATCTCCTCTCTGAGGCTCTCCACCGAAATCCAAAGGGGTTTTCTGGTGACATCCTCTCCCTTCTTTCCTTCATATTGGCTCGTTTGTCGTCTTCGGCTCTAGCTTTGCATACTTGGTTTCTCTGTTGTTGGGACCTTCTAGATCGTGATGCGACCTTAACTCGATTGAGGCAGGACAAATCCAGCCCTCAATTTTCTTGGGAACAACAAAGAGCCTGGAATAAAAATCTGGAGAAGTATGTAGAACAAGTTCGATGGCCTGCTGAGATAGTAGGTAATGAACCACCTCTGACAGGCGCTGGTCGGTCATTAGGTCCCAATGTTGCGAGAAGGAAACTGGTATAAGAGACATGGGAAGAGGGTAAACAAACGGGATCACTAATCCTTCCGATAAAACTTGAAGATCCCAATGATCCTCGACGAAAGGATGCCATTGATGAAGAAAAACGGCAAGTCGAGCTCTCACTGGTTCACCGATAATGTTGGCAATGTGAAGTGCGTCATTGAAAAAAAACGACGAGAAGGAGAAACAGGTAAGGGCTGGGAAGGAGAAGAACGGGAAACTGTAACAGGTGCCATATCGGGCTCAGACTGAGACAACCTAGCAACAAGATTAGAAAGTGTAGACTGTTGTTGCACTGATGCAACTCGTGATTTCAGACTCATGGATCGTGTCAAATACATAACGCCGCAAAAATGGGGCCATATGTAAATCTAGACAAACCACTGAAGGTATTGCATATGTGCATGACCGAGAGGGACCAGTGACGTAATTGTAGATCACATCCCCATAAGCCATAGAACCTCGCGAACAGAAAGTGATGGAGCTAAAAGGGCGTGGCAAACTAACAATTCCATGGAACAAAGTCGTAGAGGAGAAAGTTGGGCCCAACTGAAATGAGTTTCGAAAAGGACACCTACATGGATAAGATATTGGGTGGAATAGCATCTCCAGAGCATGAACATGATGAGCAAAAGCTCTGATCACCCAACAATAAATATAAGGGGCGGAAGAAAGTCCAAGGGGTAGGGTAAGAAACTGGTAAACCACCTTGTGATAGATGAATGGAAGAGACAGACGAGACTGTGTTGAAACGGGATGTATAGATAAGCATTGGCGGCGTCCATCTTGGTCATTCATTAACACGGAGAAAGTGCCCACTGTAGGGTGAGAAATGACTCCATGGTAAAACAGTGCAGTTGAACAAATCTTCTTCACGATTAATGGAATTTTGCTCGGGATCCCTTGGCAGCTCCTGTTACCCTTTGTCATATCCTGTTGGACAAGGCCCATACGTCGGCAGACTTCCACTTCCTCCTCCTTGTCCAGATTTACATCTGTCCATGGATGCACCCCTTCAATCACCAAGAAGTTTTGGGTCGTTTGTCTGTTGATGAGCAGTCCATTGGGCTTTGAATCACTTCCTTCCTCTCGCCAGACATTGTCTGGTGATGATTCATTTCGACAATTCTACAGTGGTAGCACATATCAGTTACCAAGGGGCACCCAGTCAAGATCTCTCTGTTTTCATATATTGGATTTTCTATATTGGGCCCACATGCACCACATAAAATCTGATGAGGGGAATCACACCACTTCTGCCTTGGTATACTCTTCGCCCATCTGTGAAGTATGTAGTAAATAAGGGTGGAAAAAGAGAGGAGCACATCCAAATGAGAGAAAACTGAGGCAGAATAGTTATCCTAACTCTGAAATATATATGGAACTAAATCCCACAGAGTATGAAAGTGGGTAAATCAATGGATGTGCCCCTAGGTCTAGAGTGACTAAGGCGAAACCGATCATACATACTCGGTAAGTCAACTACATACAAAATCCACGGCACTGGGAAACAACATCTATGCAGGGGTAGGATGAGGATCATACCATATTTACCTTCAGCTCAAGAGAACAGAATGAATCTAGAACCACTCCGACTCCAGAACATGACACATTTTTGCTTTGATATATCGATCCAGGGACCTGACATCTGGTATCGAAAGGATGTCTATTAAATATAAATAAACTCCCTCAACAGCAAAACCGACCAGAACCATTCAAAAAGCAATAACATCCTCAGAATAAGATACACGAGGGATAGCAAAAAGTACAAAACCAAAACAATTCTCCTTACCTCCGCTGTGACCCACAACACAGAAGGAGTATAATCAATGTGTGAAAACTGATGTTGGCGTTATTCGTCACAGAGTGGGATCCCTATAAAGAATAA